TTTTGAAAAAGCTTTTGATTCCCTTGAATGGCCCTTTATTTTTGATACACTACCTTTTTTTTGGCTTTGGACCATCACTTATCAATTGGGTAAGGACCTTTTATTGCAACATCGAAAGTTGTGTACTCAACAATGGCTGGTCAAGCAACTTCTTCCAGCCTCAAAGAGGAGTTAGGCAAGGCTGTTCCCTTTAAAATTCCCCATATTTGTTTATTCTTGCTGCGGAGCTCTTGGCCAAGGCCGTCCGTAACAATAAGAGCATAAGAGGTTTTTCTCTAGGCAATGACGAGGCCAATACGCTGATGATACCACTCTTATCGTAGATGGTTCAGAGAAATCCCTTACATCAGCAATACAAATTTTAGATGATTTTGGTAAGATCTCTGGCCTTAAGTTAAACGATAGCAAAACAGAAGCTCTTTGGATCGGTTGTAAGATAGGGTATGAACAAATCCTTGTTTCAGGAAAGAACTTTAAGTGGCCAAAATATAAAGCCAAAACACTTGGTCTGTGGCTGTTAACTGATCCGGACACGGCTTTAAGGTTGAATTACAACGAAAAAACTGAAAACATTAGGAAGCTTTTGAATTGCTGGAAATACCGAAGGCTCACGTTGTTAGGGAAAATCACTGTCCTCAAATCACTGGCCGCCTCACAACTGGTTTACCTGCTCTCCCCTTTACGCTCAAATCATCACGCTATAAAAGTAATAAATGACATGTTTTACCATTTCCTACGGAATGGTAAAGGTGACAAAATCAAGAGAAAAGTTATGATCAATGAGCCTGAGTATGGAGGCCTGAAGATGATTGACCTCTGCTCTTTCAACAAATCTCTTAAAACAACACGGGTTAAAAAGTACTTGGACACGACTAACCACGGAAAATGGAAATTTCTCTTTGATCTAGAACTGGAGAACTACGACCGCGATCTCATTTTCCGTGGTAATCTCAATATCTCGGACACTTAAAAAAAGAGGTTAGAGCAACAGACCTCTTTCTTAAAGAAATATTGGAATATTGGGCAGAAATAAACTTTGTGGATCAAGTAAGTTCTGATATCGCTTTTCAAGAACAGTTTCTGTGGTTCAACTCTTTAATAAGGATAGATAATAAACCAATTTTTTTAAAAGAATGGTTTGAAATAGGTATCTCCAAAGTTAAACACCTCCAATCAGGAAACGATAATTTTCTGACTCTCAAAGATTTTGCCTTCAAACATGATTTAAGAGTACGCCCGCTCAGTTTCTTTGGTTCATTATCAGCTGTTAAACAAATTCGCAAAAATGTTACCGATACTGCTGAGACAAGAGACCATACCTTTGAAACGTTAAGTGAAAAAATTGTTAAGAGAGAAAAGCCAGGTCCATAAATTTATACCAAAAACTGATCAGAGCCAAAAGTTTAACCCCACGTAAAAGCCAACTAAAATGGCTTCAAGACTGCAACTACTCAGACGAAGAAGGAACATTTAATTGGGAACTTGGCGCAACGGTGCACAAAAAGCATCAAACTGATAGAATTCCAATTTAAACTTAACTTAACTTAAATACAACTTATTGAACATTACTGCACTGGGCTTGAGGCCGGAGCCTCATTCTACAGAATATACTCGTGTCAATTAAACTATTGTTTCCTGTTAGCGCGGTTTCATATTTGGCAGGCCAAAATGGATGAAATATCGCCTAATTTTGCAAATTTTCTACGCCTAGTTAAGTCAAGAACTATATTATAGAGAAAAAAGCAAGGGACAATAAAAAATGGAACTTTCTTACAGATTGCTCTTAATATAGCTCTTGATATCGATTGCTTCCTTTCCCTGACGGTCAAATAGCAAAAGATATTTTGAAAGAATTGTAAATCTTGTATTCAACTAGATATATCTGACTGATAGAACACAATCAACGTTCGTTTACTGCTCCTGCTTTTGTAGGTAGTCGAACTGTACTTTTTTTGAACCTTTTTTTGTTTGTTTTCTTTGTGTTGTAACTTAGTTATTATTAATAGAATCAAAAAAAAGAATTCTTGACTAGAGGCTTCGCCTGTACAGGGTATTTACAGTTCAAACAGGTTAAAGTAAAATGGCAAGCATTTGGGTAACGCACAGTTCGGGTAAATATCAAACACAAATTATGCGATATATACCCAGCTGTCTTAAATCTGTAATCATGGGATGTTACGACTCTTCTTTCTCATCAATTAGATAGCGCAAAAAAGAGCATCATCGTTAAGTCGATGACTGCGAAGTCAAAAAACAACTATTTGGATGATGCTACGAATACATTAGATGAAAGGTTTGCTCTCTAGAAAATAGCGTAAGCTATCATTGTCGCAGAATAGTGATTGCGGCTTAGCCAATCAGATGCGCACATTTGAAGTCATGCGCACTGAATGACTGAAAACACCGTGTACCTCCCATGATTGGTACGATCGATTTGAGGTTACTTGATTTTTGTCCCCCAACAAAACCAATCGTAACTAGAATCTTCTGACTGCGTGCAGAACGTAACGTGGCTGTTAACCTCGAATCAAAGGTAAAGAATTTTCCTAATCATTCAATTTGAAGTTGTCTTAACGTTTGTAAGTGTGCTGCACGGGCAGCGGAGTTAGAACACCATACTGTAGCGGTCGATCAACATTTAAGAATCATTATGAGTAAACCTATCGAAAATCATACTGTAACAAATGAGTTATCTACTGACTCCAAATGTTCTGTAAACAGAATGGGCCCGAAATGATCCTTAACATAAGAGTCCCTTAAGCATCATATGCGAAAAAGATGCAAGAGGTGTCACTCGGGTGAATTAAGGAATGGGTCACTAGAAATTTATAGGAGGGTGATCTGGTTCATGTGGTTAAGTTTTCGCTTTTAACTTTCATAAAAGCAAATCAGTTTCATTAAGAATGATATACTTTCTTAGCCCCTTGACTTGCCATACCCGTCTTTTGCTATTTTAATATTTTGATCCAATGCGACAACTCTTTAGAAAGATTTCTTTTAGTTTGATTCATTTTCTGTTTACGACTATAAGTACAAGGCTGATCGGAAATATTTTTTTCCTGCAAACGGTAACGTTTTCATCTTAGAGAGAAAGTAGGGCGAGAAAAAACGTTAAATCATTACAAAGGAATAAAATATTTTAACATTCTCCCCATTGATTTTAGATCTTTAGCATTAAAATAAATGAATTAACAGCTGAGAACTTGAAGAACGTTAAGTGTTTTATTTTAAAACTGAATGTTAAATTTTGCATAATTATGGGCGTGGCTGGTGATGTGACTTTCAAAAGTGCAATGTAACACTCCCAAAACAGTTCTTTTCATCTGGGCACTATTATAATTTTCATAAAGGTAGTTCGATGGGTGTTGTTTTGTATTATTGATTACAACTCTTTTTTACTTCAATTGTTTTAAAATAATCATTGCAATTACTTTAATCAGATATCTTGTTATTAGAATTTCATATCATGTCTAGAAGCTTGTTCGGAAGTTATTTTCTTTTCACCATTTGGTGATTCATTTTGTGATTTTTTTATAGATAGCTAATGATTTGTCTGTAAGGTTATGTGACAATGCAATGCAGACACTGAGCATCTCGGCATACATCAGGATTTAGTATTATAATTGTAGTCATAAAAGAGTATGTAAGCAGCTATGCGTCTCTAAACATGATCACGAACCAACTATAATCACAGTAAGAACGTTGAAACGTCTAGCAAAAAAGGCAGAAATCTTAGGAAGTTTGACTACGACTGATTCGCTCAAAGCTCGCACTTAAGTACTCTAAAATGTATTGTTATGTGCTGGTTTGAAAAACCTTTAAAAGCATAACACAACTCAAAGTATATGTAAAGAAATTAAAGCAAAAACATTGGCAACTGAAATTACGTTTTTCTTTAAAGCTCAAGACGTTTCACCAAGGAATGATGAAGTTTAAATATGAAGCTAGGAAATAACGATTATTAATTGTTTTTGAATGTTTAATATTGACCAATGTCAGTGTTAACATGATCCACACCCAAGAGGAAATCGTGGTAAATTTAATCTTTGAACAGACGTAGAGACGAATACTGAAAAAAGCGTTTATCTTAACAGTCAGTGGGCCTTGATTGCTGTCACCGCTGTACGACATTTTCATATCGCGATTTTTTAACAACCGCTGCAACTGAACACAGCCACAAATTTTGTTTGTTTTGTTTTCTTTATTTTAGTATGGAACTTCGATCTTT